GCCGCCCGAATGGCCCGCCATAAGTGCCGGGGTGAGAGTTCGCTGCCGCCTGCAGGCTGCCGCTCCGTTGCCGCGATGGTGCGCTGCGTTCCGAGACGCGTGAGTTTTCGCGCAAGCAGCGTTTCGCCGTGGCCCGCGCGGCTCGCCATGTTCCCCGCGAGTTTAGCGGGCCGCCTTCTCTGCCCGGGCGGAGAGCCCAGGCTTGGCTCCAGGCCGATGACGAGGCTGCCCAGGCTGTCGAGACGGAGGCCGCGAAGGTCGCCGAGAGATTCGCCGTTTCGCTCGGGGCGCTGCCCGCGGGGCCCCTCGCGCCGATCCTGGCGAGGCGCCCCTCCAGGGAGCACCCGGCCCTCCCCCTTCCGCCTCGGGGCCCTCCAGGCTCGCAGGAGGAGGGTGCCATTCGCGTTGTCCCTGCGACCGTGGACGTGCGACGCGTCGGCGCAGTCGCGCGCGCCCGCATTTCTCTTGCGAGTTGTTCTATATTATTCTAGCGTCTGGCGGTGCGGAGGTTGCGCCAGGAGCGTGGTCGCAGGTTTTCGGATGTTCCTTCGGCTCGGGGCGAACGGTGCAGGAAGCTCGACAAGGCCCCGCCGAGGCGTCCACCCCTCCGCGCGGGAGGCCCTCGAGGGCTAACCCGTCTGCGCTTGCTTCGGCGCGTGCGCATCGGTTTCTGGCCGTTGACCTGCGAGCCCCTTGCGTTGGCGTATGCGGCCCCGATCGAAGGGGGCGACCCCCCCGCCGACCTCTGTTCAGCCTGATGGCGCTCGTTACCCCGGACGCCTTCCAGCCGGCGCCCGCCGCGACCTCTACGTTCCTCAGCTTTGCGCGGCGGAGCCTGCCTGCCTGGGCCCCCCCCTTCGGCCGTCCGCCCCGCCCGTTCTCAGTCTCTCGCGCGTCGCAGCGCAATTCGCTGCAATTGCGCCCCCGTTCAGTCAGCTCTTCCGCCAGCGCAGTTACTCTGCCTGGCCGCCGACGTAAGACATGTTCGCGGCCTGGGCCCGCCGTGGCCAGCCGAGCCCCGTCGCTCCTGAGGGCGCGCTCCGCGCGGTTTCGCGCGGTGCCCGCGTTGTCCTCTGCCTCCCCCTTTTACGCAGTTTTATTGTTCTGCCAAGCGCGCAGGATTGTCGCAGTTGTGTGATGCCCAGCTGGGTCTTCACCGCGGCCGTCTTCGATGTTTCGGGCATGGCTTTCCCGCTGCGGCGATGGCAAGTTCCATTCAAACCGCCACGCTTCTTCCGCGCAACCAAGTGGCACACTCGCTGCGGCGCTGTCGTCGCCGTGTGCTTCCTTTGCTAGTTGTCCATCTTGTGCTGTCCACTGTCCGACCCCGCAACCCCGCACTGCGATGTGCAGTGCGACGCTATGACTTATGATACCTTGTACTGTTGAGTGGCACGCAGTGAGATGCGGTGGCGCACCATGTGGTGATATGCAAGGCGGTGATATGTTGACCATGCCATGCCGCGGTTTTGTGCCATGGCACGGTATTGAATTATGCCACTCCTCGAGTGGCATTTGTTCGATGCGCCCTCGGTGTGTCTTCATCACTGAGCAAACACTGCCAGCTTCCGCGCTGGATTGCTGGAGATGGGGGTGTTGGCCAGTCCGCATGGTTCCCACAGCGGCCCAGTTTTTTCGTACACTCCTGCGCGCGATTGTATATTTCCCTCCACGGTTCGTTTTCGATCGTTCCCTTTTGTATGTTGTGTTTGCTTGTTGCTTCCTCCCTCCCCGTCGTCTTCAGTCCGACCTCCTCCCTCCTCCGCCGCCTTAGCGCCCGTCCCAGTTTCCGCTCGCATCCGTCATGCTCCTCCCACATCTTGAATAATGGTGCATTGTTCAGCGCGCTGCCTTGTCGGCATCCACGTCCTAATCAACGCTCGGTTGTACGAGTAGAGCGGGGCTCGACGCAACGAAAAGGGATGGGAAGGAGGAGCAGGATGTTCGGTGTGGCGCGACAGCGCCTCTCTTGGCCCTTTTGTTTCTGCCCCCCCCCCGCCCCACTCCTCGGGTAAGGGGACAAAAAAGTGAAAACCCTTCGTCTTCGGCCCCGCATTCGCCCCCCCCCCCAATTTCAAAGTTGGGTTCGGCCTCTCGGAGGCCCCGGGGGGTCCACTTTTTCGTCCTCTCGCGCCTGCGCCGCCAAATTCTTGAGGCCAGCTTTGGAATTGGGGAGAGGGGGGGCGTGGTGTCAACGGTTCCACTTTTTGGTCCATCTACGGTCCCCTGCGTGTCCGCGGGCCGTGGGCCCGATGTCCCAGGGCCCCGGGAGGCAACGCGTAGTGATATCCTCGTCCTTTTCCTCCTCGCCGTCGTCCTCCTCCTCCTCCTCCTCCTCCTCCTCCCCCTCCTCCTCCCTCCTCCTCCTCCTCCTCTCCTCCTCCTCCTCCCCCCTCTTCCCCCTCCCCTCCTCCTCCTCCTCCTCCTCCTCCTCCTCCTCCTCTCCTCCTCCTCTCTCTCCTCCTCCTCCTCCTCCTCCTCCTCCTCCTCCTCCTCCTCCTCCTCCTCCTCCTCCTCCTCCTCCTCCTCCTCCTCCTCCTCCCCTCTCCTCTTCCCCCGCCTCCTCCTCCTCCTCCTCCTCCTCCTCCTCCTCCTCTTCCCCCTCCCGCCGAGGTGATCGACTCCAAGAGCGACAAGTCCATCATCAAGGATGGCAAGGCGGCCGTCGGCTCGCGGCCCTCTGCGCGCCTGCGGCGGGAGCGGCCCGCGGAGACGCCCGCGCGCGGGACGGACGGGGCCCCTGCGCGCGTGCGCGGCAAGACGCGCTGATCCCGAGGTTCCCTGGAGGCCCCACACACTTGGCATCGCTCGGACGTGTGCATTTTTCCTTCGGCGAGGACCATCGAGGAGCATCCTTGATCATTTTGCGAGAAAAAACACACGCACGAAACCGACAAACAACTCAGGGAATTGGTTGTCCGAGCGACGGCGAGATGACACAGTCGATGTCGATAGCAGTGATGTCGGAACGGACGGGGCCTCTGCGCGCGCGTGCGGCAAGACGCGCTGGTCCCGAGGTTCCCTGGATGCCCACACAGTCGATGCCGATAGCAGTGCTGTCCGAACGGACGGGGCCCTTGCGCGCGTGCGCGGCAAGACGCGCTGATCCCGAGGTTCCCTGGAGACTCATACAGTCGATGTCGATAGCAGTGATGTCGGAAACTGGAGCATATGCTTGACCAGTGGTGGGCCGTTTTCCGATCCTAGGTGTAGGGGCGCTCGCTCGCTTCTGAAGGGCAGCCACGGCGCTAAGATAAGGACCCTCTTGGGTCCTGGAGGGGCTCTGGCTTGTCTGGGTCCAGGGGCCCATCCTGGGGCCGAAGCCTGGCCGAAAAAGCCTCTCGCCGTTCCGCCCGACGACGACGCGGATGACGACGAGGACGACGACGGCGACGAGGACAGTGTCGACGATGACGACGACGATGACGAGAATGACGACGACGACGACGACGACAACGAGGCTGACGACGACGAAGACAGCGAGGACGAGGACGAGGACGAGGATGAGATCGACGACGACGACGAGGACGACGACGAGGACGACGGGGAGGATATCGACGACAACGACGACAGCGACGAGGACGACGACGACCACGACGACGAGGACGACCAGGACGACGACGAGTACGACCTCGACGACGACGACGACGGGGAACCCCCAGAAGGCACCCAGACGGCCAAGAAAGCTTCGAGAAGGGCCTCCAGACGGCCCACCAGAGGGCAACGCTCCAGAGAGCTTCGACATGAGCGTCCAGGTCGGAAACTGGAGCATATACATTACCAGTGGCGGGCGGTTTCTCAATCCCAGAACTTTTTGAGTATCGGGGACGACGTCGGGGTGGTGACATGTTTCCCGTCTGTCCTGGGGAAACAGCGAAGAATGTATACACTGGGATCCCGTGTACACCAGGATCCGCCTTCCTGTGCGAGATTCAGCGTGAGGCCAGGCATAGGCGTCGGTGTATAGAGTTCGGTTCCTTACCAGGGCCGTTCAATCCTTATCGTGCATCCGAACGAGCAGTTTTAGCACGACGAGCAACTCGTCCGTGTCCAGATGTTTGTCCACGACGCAAGCATGCCTCAAGGGAGGGAAAACCACAATCAGTTTTGATTGTATTCCCGATCTGCTCCTTCACATAGGGAGCTGCATCGTGGCATGCTGCCAGGCAGCGGGACCCCGAAGAGCGATGGCCCGCCGTATTCCACGGGGGGAACCTGGCCTCGAAGCGCGGACCCGCCAGTGTTGCACCTACCTAGGGTTTTTTGTTCAAGGGAGGAAAAACCACACCGACCCCCATAATTGGCGTTTACTAAACGGCCCTGGTTGTTTATTGAACAGCCCTGTCCTGTTCGATTCCTACTTTGGGCGTGTTCCCGAAACGGTCTCACTCGTCGGGCTGCTTCTTATGAGGGTGGTTGTTGCTGCTCTCTAAGAGGCTCCCGTCTGGTGCCGAAGGCGGCCTCTCCAGCCCCCAAAGACGCACGAGAGCGTGCCCAAGCAGTGACGCCCTGTGGAGATCTCCGGAGGCCCCCGCACGCCATTCGGAGGCCTCCACGAGGCCGGGACGCTGCCAGCTCGGGCCTTGAGGGTCCCTGAATCCTACGGCACCGCCATCCCTGGTAATAACAAGACAAGAAGTCGTCCCTAAATGTTCGGCTCATAGCTCGGCTCTGCGGCGGCCATCGGGGCGATGCAGGCACCTCTGGAAGGCTTTCGGCGAGGCGCCGCTGCTGGAGCGCATCCCGAGGCTGGAAGATCGTTCAGAACCTCGCTCTGGAGATCCCCGAAGCCTCGGAGCGTCGACGACGACGACGACGACGACGACGACGACGACGACGACGACGACGACGACAACGACGACGTCGGCGACGACGACGACGACGACGACGAGGACAGCGACGACGGCGACGACGACGACGACGACGGCGACGACGGCGACGACCCCGCAGGCGTTAGGAGGCCTGGGACGCCAGCGGACGGTGCCTCGCGCCGCCCGCCCATGGCGGCCTTCGGCGAGGCCTTCGGCGAGGCCTTCGGCGAGGCCTTCGGCGAGGCCTTCGGCGGCCACGGCTACGGCCCGTCGCCGCCGCGGCGCGAGGCGTCGGCGCTGCGCGAGCCCGTCGTTGCGGGCGCCGCGGGCTTCCGACGACGAGGACGACGAGAACGACGACGCCGACGACGAGAACGACGACGACGACGAGGAGGTCGACGTCGACGACGACGACAACGACGAGGTCGACGACGACGACGACCGACGACGACGACGACGACGACGACCACGACGACGACGACGACGACGACGCCGACGACGACGACGACGACGACTGCCGACCCGATCCAGGGCCTCAAAGCATGCTGCCCCTCGCGCTGCACGGCGGCGAGGCGCTTGCGGCCCAGGTGCGGGCCGGCTCCCCGGGGCCGCAGGGCGCGGGGCTCCCGGGGCCCTCTGGCGGGGAGGCGCTCGCGGTGCGGATGCGGGCCGAGATGCAGGAGCTCTGGCTCCTGGGCGGGGGCCCAGAAGACATGGTCGCGTCGTATCGAGATCACGACGGGAGTTTGTTGTTGGCCGTTTTCGGCCCCGGGGGGCCCTCGCGGGGCCCCGTCAACAAACGACTCAGGATGAGAAACCGGTCCGGGGGAAAGGGTCTTGACTTCCAGGGACCGCGCATTGAAAAAATCTAGACGTCGCCTGTGTAGGCCTCCTGGGATGTCCTCGTCGCCACGGCTGGATTGGCCTCGGGATGCTTGTCAGAACGCACCCCGGGAGAGGTCCGGGGAGAAGTCGAGATGCAGGAGCTTTACAGTCAAGGCGTTGACACGAGGACCACTGTTCTGGGCCTCCCAAGTGGGGTCCGAGTGGATCGGGTCGCAGGATCGCGCGGCGATGCGGCTCGATGTGAAGCCCGAGCTTCAACAGCCGGCCTCCAGTCCAAGACTGTACACCACCTGTCCAGCTCCGCCGCCCCGTCCAAATGCAAGGGGGAAGGGGGTGTTGAAAGCCCGAGCGCGGGCAAGGACGCCCGGCGACCAGGGGGGATACCCCGGAGGGGGGAAAAAGGGGGAGAAGGGGGGGGGGGAGCGGTCGACACCCTGTGCGGTGTCGACACCCTGCGAAGCTTGCTCTTCTTCACGCCGACGCCGCCAGTGCATCGCCAGTGCATCGGCGGTGCATGCGGCGCGGTCCTCCTCCCGAGCGGCTGGGTCGGAGGGGGCTCCGGCTCTGGATCGCGCCGCTCCCTGCCCTCTGCAGGCCGCGGGGCCCGTGGCCGCGGCCGAGGCTCGGCGCGGCCAGCAGCAACAAAAGCCACTGCGCTCCTTGCCTCCTCCTCCTCGTCCTCGTCCTCCTCCTCCTCCCCGTTCTCCTCCTCCTCCTCCTCGTCCTCGTCCTCCTCCTCCTCCTCCTCCTCCTCCACCTCCTCCTCCTCCTCCTCCTCCTCGTCCTCCTCCGCTCCTCCTCCTCCTCCTCCTCCTCCTCCTCCTCCTCCTCCTCGTCCTCCTCCTCCTCCTGGGCGTTCCTCCTGCTGGCAGCATGATGATGTCCCGCGTGCGATGGGGACCCGTGCCAAGAATAGGGGAACGAACAACGCCATAAACATAACAACTCGGGGGTCCGCGCGGATGTCTCGGATCGACGTTGGACCCACCCGGCGCCGCCTCCGGTGCCGCCCCTGACCTGCTCCGATCCGATAAGTCCGCGCGGACCTCCGAGTTTTTATTATGTTTATGTCATTGTTCGTTCCCCTACAGAAACACCCTGCCTGCCTCCAGGGTGCCCCCGGTTTCCTGGGCTTCGATGGCTCTGCTGTGGAAAGCGTGACATTCCTACGCCGAGAGTCGATGGACTTCCTGGGGTCTCAGGGTGGGGTTTCTTGTGGCATCTCTCTTGTGGATCGGCCTCCACTGTAGCACGATGATGCTCCGCGTAAGCAGATATGTTCGGCGGCCCGTGCGGATGTTTTTTTGATCGACGCTGGGCCCCCCGGGCGGCGCCTCCGGCGCCACCCCTGGCGCCGGAGGCGCGCCAGGGGGGGATGGGGTGTCCAGCGCCGGTCCAAGAAACACGCGCGGACCTCCGACAGTTTAAGCTGATTCAGGAGGGACAGAAACACACAGACACAATGAATCGTCGATTCCCCATGAAAATATAGGAAAATATGGGCAGTGGGGGGGAGACAGAAACCCCGAACACATGGGGAAACATGGGGAATCTTCTTATTTGTGTGTCTTTATTTGTGTGTCCCAGTTTCCCTTCACAGATGGGGTCCGAGCAGATGACCCCGACGTCCGGCGCCTCGAACAAGAGCGAGGCGAAGTTTTTCCGTCGTTCACGGTCTCTCGGGCCCCTCACCGCGTTTGGGGGGCCAGAGAACGACTCGGGTGCGGGTAGATTTCATATCCATATCCAGTTCGTTTTGGACTTTCCTTCAAGAGGCACCGCAAGGCCGAGGCGCACTGGACATGCATCAGAATCCAGCCTCTGGGAGCCGGATTTTATCCATATCCAGTGCGCCTCGGGTTTGGGGAAGTGAGCCCCAATTTCCAAGCTGCAGTGGATATGGACACCAGTCTTGCCCGCATCGGGATGAAAAAAGGGGTGCGCCTGAGAAGTGGCCGAGAGGTCTGGGTCCCGCGTCTCGAACACATCGAGACGCCAGATATCGGGGGGGGTGGTCGCAGGATCGCGCCGCATCGCCGATGCATCGCCGATGCATCACCGATGCGGCTCGATGTGGAGCCCGAGTGTCTCCGCGCTGGCGTCGCCGAAACTTCGCCGACGTCGCCGATGCACCGCCGATGCATCGCCGATGCGTCGCCGATGCGCTGGCGATGCGGCGTGGTCCTCCGAACCCGTCTGCTCGGACCCCATCTTGGAGGCCTCCAGTCTTGGCATCGCTCGGACGTATGCATTTTTGTTGCTTCGGCGAGGACCATCGAGGAGCATCCCTGATCACTTGGCGCAAAAGCCACGCGCGAAGCCAAAAAAAGCACAGGGAATGGACGTCCCAGCGATGGCCTGCCAGGAGTCAAGAGGGAAAAAACACACAGACACAATTAATCGTCGACTCCCCAGAAAATATAGGAAAATATGGGAAGTGGGGGGGAAGACAAAAACCCAGAAAGTATGGGAAAATATGGGGAATACTTTTATTTGTGTGTATTTATTTGTGTGTCCTAGGGCCCCTTCAAGGAGCTGCACCGGAGCGCGCTGGACTCGCTGGACTGGTCGAACAAGATGCACGACCTGGCGCTGCAGCGCCTCGACCTCCGCGTCACGGAGAAGGATCTCGCCTCGGTCTCGCCTCGCGTGGGGGCCTCGTCAGCGGCTCTCGCCGCCGCAGCTGTGCTGCCACGCGCGCCGCCAGGGTTGGATTCGCTTCGACGACGGCGACGACGACGACGGAGACGACGAGGACGACGACGACGACATCATGGTCAGAAGGAAGGCACCCTGGGAGAGTTCTGGGGAGGTACAGTCGGTCTTGGCCGCTAGCGCGACTCCGCCAAGTCAAGGGTACCCTTTGTCCTGTCTTTGAAGACCCGTGCCCTTTACATTTCTATGTCAAGTACCCCTTTCGTTCCTGCGATCTGTCGGCGATGTGTCGTCGATTCCACGTCGATTCTCCCCCCCCGCTCCGGACTCCCATGTCGTTCCCTTTTATCTGGGGTCCAGGAACTTTTTCTCTCAGGACCCAGTCCCGGACGTCGCCGATGTGGGTTGTTTCTATCCGCGTTCACGGAGGTCTCGAGCGTTTCCCCAAGAGTAGTTTTCTTCGCTCGGATCCAGTTCTGGTGGGCACAGGGCCAGAAAATGACCCCCGAGATCCTAACTCGATGGAGAATCGCCCAGGATCTTGCGCCTTCGCTATCGAGAGCCTATCGTCGATCTATCGGCGATGTGTCGCCGATTCCAGGTCGACGCCCTCTCCCCCCACTGAGCTGGTTCCCCTCCTGAATCTGAGCCTCCCAGATGGGGTCCGAGCGAACAGATGGGGTCAGAGGGTGCGCCGCATTGCCGATGCGTTGGCGATGTGGCTCGATGTAGAGCCCGGCTTACTCACGCCGACGGCACCGATGCATCGGCGGCGTCGCCGATGCATCGGGGATGCAGCGCGATCCTCCGACCCCATCTGTTCGGACCCCATCTGGGAGGCGTCTACCCTGATGTTGGAGCATCTTGGGTCATCACGACAGCACATGGAACCGAACAGTGCACGGGGCATGGGCGTCCGAGCGATGGCAAGCCCCTGAGCTGGCCTCCCACGTCCAGCATGGACCCCTTCCGGCTGAACCCTGGAGAGGTCAGGGAGTCTGCGGTCACCCCGCTCTCCGTGGGCCACCGCGTGTCTGCACACGGGGGTGCTGTAGTCGGAGGGCGCGAGGGGCCTGTGCGACCGCCCCCCGTCGTTTCTCGCTCGGACGAGGGGGGGCAGGGGCCGGAGCGGACGCCCGTGCTGTCGTGACCGATGTGCAGCCTGCCCGCCCTCGGAGACCTGTCCACAGTGGCTGGAAGGCAGGAGTTGCCCCCCCCCCCCCCCCTAACGGTCGGATGCATTCGGGGTTGGACAGACCTCCTACCCCGACACGTCGATTGAGGAATCGGCCGTTCTCGGTTCGCGAGGGGGCGTCGCGGCCGTCATGTTTGCAGGTCCAGGTCCGTCGGTTTCGGCCCCAGGCCGTTTTTATTAAGGGGAGGTTTACTAAAGGGAGGTTTGTCCAACGCCGATGCATCTCCTGGGAGGTGGTCAGGTTCTGACTTTGCCCCGGTCCGAATTCCCGCTAACTCCGGCTCAGTCCAGCTGGATCCCGCTCAATCGTGACGATGCTTGCTGGATCCCGCCCCCCCTATGGGGCTTAATATTCTCGAGTCCTTCCGACAGAGACCTCCCGGTAGTTGCCTCCGAACTGACATTGCCCTCGAAGGACGAGAGGCAGGAGCGGCTGGACGAGTCGTTCGCGCAGGCGCTGCGCGGCCTGTCCGTGGAGGTCACTAGACAGCTCGGCTCGGGCGGGGACCTCGAGCGGCGCCTGGATCAGCTGCGCCAACAGCTGGAGGACCTCAGCATCGCTCCACCGATCCCCATCCCCACTGGGCCATGGTACAGTCAACAGTGATAATAATCAAAAGAGAAAGGGTAACCATACCGCTACCCTTCTCCCGTTTTCCCCTTTTTCCTCGTCGCCACCGCTGGATTCGCCTCCAAACTCTGGTCAGAAGGCATTCCGAGAGAGGTCAGGGGAGTAGCGGTATCGATACCTCTTGGCTTCCCGACATATGGTGAAGCTATCTTCCAAGAGTGCCCTTGCGTCCTTCCCTCCTCGGCCCGTCCTCGGCCGCTTTTGCTGGCCGGTCTCTCGGGGATGCCCTCGGGACTTTCGGTGTCCTCGGACTGTGCGGCGCGACACTTCGGCAGTGACGTGTGTCGGCTCGGGTACACTCGCGTCTCTTGGATTCTTCCCGTGCCCCGCTGAAGCATGCCAACGTGGGCGTCCTCCAATCCCTGGGGCCAGGAAGTGGTCACCGTGTCGCGCGATAGGCCCGAAGCGGCGGAGCGGCACGCTATCCAAGAGGTTTCGACCGCAGACCGCACGCTGCTCGAGGTCGAGCAGTGGCAAGGCCTCCAGGCTTGCCTCTTGGCTCATCAAAGACTGTTCTGAGAGCCGGGTGTGGGTTGCGCGAAGTGTTCTTAGAATTTTTCTGGTTGAGACCGTATTGTTTTCACACGTCGGCTGGAGGCTCTCTGAGGGCATCGTGCTTGATCTTAGAACATTCGCCCGCTCAGAGCACATCGGGGCGACGAAACAACGGTGTCGTCTACGCCGACACTGGTGCGCAAGCTTCCGCGTGAAGTCGTGCGTAAGCGCCCTCGTTTCCAAAGCAAGCCACCGCGCAAGGTCGCCATGCCAATCTGCGCCAGAACCCTTCCCTTTCGTCGCCCATATCGTGTTAGGCCTACAGGAATACCGGGGACGGCCAGACCCCGCTCAGCAGGACCAGCTGCAGCCCCGCGTCGGCCGGCTGGAGCTCGCCCTGCGGGAGCTCGCGCCAGAGGCGGCGGCCGCCGCCCTGCAGCGCCTGCAGGCCCGCGCCGACGAGGCGGAGCGGCGCCAGCGCTCCGCGGACGCGGCGCGCGGCGCGCTGGAGCGGAGGACTCCCGCGAAGCGAGCCGCGATCTCCACCCGGCGTTTCGAGATCAAGCACGATGTCCTCAGACCTTTTGGACGTCGCGTCGACACGGTGCGGCCTCGGCCAGACATGTTATGAGAGTGTGCCGTGTGAGCCACAGAGGGTTCTCGTAACAGCTTCGGATGGGCCCATAAGCGAGCCTGGGACGCTTCGCCAGTGCTCGAGGCTGCGCGCGGCGTGGCTTGCGGGCAGCCTCGCCACCCACCAAACCAACCCAGTTCAGCCCGAGGGCTCCAACTTGCCCCCCCTTTTCCAGTGGCGGGGGCGTCGGGGAACACTGGAGTGACACATGTGGAAACCGTGTACCCTCCCTCCCAGCCCGAAGCTTCAGTCTCTGGGTTGGGTTGGGGTGGTCCTGGTAGGTAGCCGTCTGGCCAGCGCGTCGCTCTGCCGTTGCTGGTCCAACGCCTCCAGAGCCCTCGCCAAGTGCCTCCCGCCCCCCGCGGAGCGGAGCGGACGCGCGGCCAGCTGCAGGGCAGGGGCGTGTCACCGCGTCGCCGCGACACGTAGAGCGGAAGCTCTTGGCCGTGCGTCAGAGCGAGGGGCCGAGCGGTCCTGCGCCGTCATCGGCGTGTGGCGGAAGTGGGGATACACGGGCCGAATCACTGCTTGCTGCTGTTGTTGCTGTTGTTGTTATCATGACTGTTGTTGTTGTTGTTGTTGTTGTTGTTGTTGTTGTTGTTGTTGTTGGTGTTGTTGTTGTTGTTGTTGTTGTTGTTGTTGTTGTTGTTGTTGTGTTTGGTGTTGTTGTTGTTGTTGATGGTGGTGTTGGTGGTGGTAGTGTCAGTGTTAGAGTAAATGCTGATGCTGTTGTTGTTGGTGGTGTTGGTGTTGGTGTTGATGTTGGTGCTGTTGTTGTTTTTTTGTGGTGGTTGTTGTTGTTCTTGTTGTGGTTGTTGTTGTTGTGGTTGTTGTTGAACTTTCATGCCTGAAGAATAATTATTGTTGATCCCCCCGTCCGGTGCACATTGTTTTTGTTCGATTGAAGTGCCCTTCCCGGGGCTCGCACCCTGTTTTCTAGCAGGGAAAGTCTTGAGGGTCAAATTGCGTTGTTGGCCCCCGGTTTACAGCAACAACGGCTCCCGCCTGACACTTCCTCACAATTTGGCCAGGACCCCCGCTCCCGCCCGAGACTTCCTCACATTCTATTAAGAAATCGCGCTCTCGCCTTGGATTTCTCTACGATTTATTAAAGAATCGCTCTCCCGGCGTTCTGGAGTCGCGTTCTCGCTGGAGACTTGCTTGCAATCTACTGACGAATAGCGCCCTTGCGTTGGAATTTCTTCAATTTACTCAAGCGCCGCGCTCCCGACACCCAGGCACCCAGGAGTCGCGCTCACGCTTAGGACTCCTTCACAAATTCCCTAGGAATCGGGATCTCGCTGCCCTCCGTGGCCCCGTGGCAGCCCTTCGTGGCCGCCTCGCTTTGTTTCGTTGCCCCGTTGCAGCCCTTCGTGACCCCCTCGTTTTGTTTCGTGGCCCCGTTGCAGCCCCTCGTGGCCTGATCGCTGCCCTTCGTGGCCTCGTTGCAGCCCTTCGTGGCCCCCTCGCTTTGTTTCGTGGCCCCGTGGCAGCCCTTCGTGGCCCCCTCGCTTTGTTTCGTGGCCCCGTTGCAGCCCTTCGTCGCCCCGCTGTCGCCATTCGTGGCCCCCTCGCTGCCCTTCGTGGCCCACTTTCTGCGCTCAGTGGCCCCCTCGCTGCCCTTCGTGGCCCCATATATGTATGCCCTTCGTGGCCCCCGCTCGTTCGCGCCCGCCGTGGCCCCATATGCATGCTTTCGTGGCCCCGCTGTCGCCCTTCGTGGCCCCCTAGCTGCCATTCGTGGCCCCGTTGCTGCCCTCAGTGGCCCCGTCGCTGCCCTCCGCGGCCCAACATACGTATGCCCTTCGGGGCCCCCGCTCGTTCGCGCCCGTTGTGGCCCCATGTGAATGCCCTTCGCGGCCCCGCTGTCGCCGTTTGTGGCCCCCTCACTGTCCTACGTGGCCCAGTTGCTACCCTCAGTGGCCCCATATTTGCCTTCTGTGGCTCCGCATTATCTGCCCTTCGTGGCCCCCGCTCGTTCGCGTTCTTCGTGGCCCCATACGAATTCCCTTCGTGTCCCCGCTGTCGCCCTTCGTGGCCTACTTCTTGTCCTTCGTGGCCCTGTTGTCATTCTCTCTCGCTCTCGCTTTCGCTCGTCGTCGTCGCCGTCGTCGTCGTCGTCGCCGTCGTCGTCGTCGTCGTCGTCGTGGTCGGTCCCCTGTCCGTCCCTCTTGGGGTCGGGTCGACGGTCTGCGGCCGCCCCGCCGATCACCGCTGCCGCTGGCCAGGCCGACGGTCCGCGGCCGCCCCGCCGCTTGCCGGGGCCCGGCCTGCAGGGAAGAAAGGTATACCCCCCAAATGTGGTTCGATTGAAGACGAAGAGGGCGAGTATCGACGGTTTGGGAAATACCAGTTATTGGACACTCGCGCAGATAAGGGCGAACAGTCTTAAAATGATTGTTGCTGTTGTTGAACGATCATGTTTGAAGAATAATTATTGTTAATCCCCCCGTCTGGTGCACATTGTTTTTTCGATTGAAGTGCCCGTCCCGGGGCTCGCACCCTGTCTTTCATCAAAGGAAGTCTTGCGGGTCAAACTTCGTTGTTGGCCCCCGGTTTACAACAACAACAACGGCTCCCGCCTGATACTTCCTCACAATGTATTGAAGAATCGCGCTCTCGCTTTGGATTTCCCTGCATTTTTCCACCGGATCGCGGCTCTCGCCTGATACTTCCTCACCGTGTATTGAAGAATCGTGCTCTCGCTTGGGACTTCCTTGCAGCTTACCACCGAATCGCGGCTCCCGCCCGGTACTTCCTCACAATGTATTCAGATGCCGCTTTCCGAAGTTCAGGAATCGCGCTCCTGCTATATATTGCCTGGCGGTTCAAGCGGAATTTACGCTTCAACTACCCGCCCGCTCGACCCGCCCGTCTGGGTCTGCCCGCCGGACCAGCCCGTTAGGGACTGCAGTCGCCGCTCGCTGCCCTTCGCCCGCCTTCGATGCCCCTCGCTGCCCGTACTGGTTCCGCGGTTGCCCTCGCTCGCTGCCCTTCGTGGCCCCGTTGCTGCCCTCAGTGTCCCCGTCGTTGCCCATTGTGGCCCCGCATTATATGCCCTTCGTGGCTCCCGCTCGTAGTCGCCCGTCGTGGCCCCATACGCATGCCCTTCGTAGCCCCGCTGTCGCCCTTCGTGGCCCTCTCGCTGTCCTTGGTGGCCCTTTTGCTACCCTCAGTGGCCCCGCTGTCGCCCTTTGTGGCCCCATATACGAATGCCCTTCGTGGCTCCCGCTCGTTCGCGCCCGTCGTGGCCCCATATGCATGCCATTCGTCGCCCCGCTGTCGCCCTTTGTGGCCCCCTCGCTGCCCTTCGTGGCCCACTTTCTGCGCTCAGTGGCCCCGCTGTCGCCCTTCGTGGCCCCATATATGTATACCCTTCGTGGCCCCGCTCGTTCGCGCCCGCCGTGGTCCCATATGCATGCCATTCGTGGCCCTGCTGTCGCTCTTCGTGGCCCCCCCTTTCTGCCCTTCGTGGCCCCGTCCAGGGGTTTCTGGGGACGCACGATGAGCTTTACTCCGCCCCGGAGGCCCCCAAGACTCGCCAAGAGGCCGTTCAGATGCCGACCGAGAGCGCCCCGAGAGGGCAACAACGTTGATTTGCCATTGGTTATGTTCAATGTTTTTGGTGCATTCTCGCTGTTTCGTTTTTCCGGCGCTGAGGCACCGCCCAAGATGCTCCCAAAACCGTTCCGACACGACCCAAGAGGCCCTCAAGAGAGCCCCAAGACGGCCCCAGAGCCGCCCCAGACAGCGCAAGAGGGCTCCAACAAGGCCCCAAGAGGAGCCCAAGAGAGGGAACGCAAACTGAAAAATCAAGCTTCCCGCCCCAAGATGCCCCCAAGAGGCCTGAAGATGCCCCCAGGAAGCCCCCAAGAGGCCCCAAGAGGCCCCCAAGAGGCCCCAAGAGGCCCCCAGGAAACCCAAGGTGCCCCAAGCGCCTCGGGGGCCCTTGGACTGAGGCGGGGGCGCCCCCGACGCGCCGTGGGGGTGTCGTGGTGCCAGGGACGCTTCCAGACCGCTCAAGACAGCCCCAGCACGGATGAAAAGGGCCGCGAGTCGCGAGAGGTCTCCAGGAGGCTTACTATGCGAGAGGCGAGAGGCCTCCAGGAGGCCTACTGTCGCGGAGTTATCGTTCTAACACGCCCAAGATGGCCTCCGTATGGCCTGCACTCCCAACACTCCCAAAAGGGCCCCACGGAGCCCAAGTCAGAGATTTTCTTGTTGTTTTTTGGTGCATTTTACCGTTTCAGTCTTGTGGTATTCCGACGCTCCAAGACGGCCCAAGAGGCCCCCAAGACCGCTCCACGATAGCCGAAGAGGCCTCCAAGATGGCCCCAAGACGGCCCACGAGGCCCCAAGACGGTGCTTGAGGCGCCCGAGACGGCCCGAGAATGCCCCAAGACGTCCCAAGAGAGGCCCAAGAATGGGAACGCGAACCCAACAGCAGAGTCTTCCGCCCCAAGAGGCCCAGATAAGGCCCCAAGAGTCCCCAAGCGGTCCGACGAGGCCCCCATAAGCTTCCCAAGTGGCCCCCAAAGGCCCCAAGGAGTTGTACAAGCCCCAATTGCTCAACAGTGCCCTCGATGCATCAAAACTGTCTGCAGGAGGCCCTCGGGAGGCTTCCGGATTGCCACAGTGCGGCCCGAGGCGTTCTCAAGTCGGGCCTCCACGCAGCTAAGACGTCCAATGACGGCTTCAGAGTTCGGAACATCACCTTCCGACTGCCCAGAGAACCCAGACGATGCTCCCAAGGGACCCCAAGAAACCCCAAGACGACACCCCAACAAGCACCCAAGAGGTGCCTCCAACAGCAAAGTGAGGAAGCACGGATAATCCCCTGGAAGCCCTTCAGATGCCCCCACGAAGACCCAAGAGGTCCCCA